GAGGAGGTTCGGCTCTTCCTCCTCTTCCTCCTCCTCCCACTCCTCCTCGCCGGCGCTCTTCGGCGTCAAGCCCGAGCCCGCCGCTCGGTCGGCGCACCCGCAGCGCCGGCATCGTAATTAACGTGGGTGGCCAGCGCGCCCCCTCCTCGGCACCTCCGCGCTTCATCAAACCGAAGACAGAGCTGGGGCTCGCCGCCGTCAAGAAGGAGCCGGGGCTCCCCGGCGGCGTCAAGTAGGAGCTCGACGACTGGGTGCAGACGGAGCTGCAGCGCCATATCGCCGCCTTCGAGCGCTTCGAAGCCCGGTGTCGCGGCCGGGACGAGGGAGGCGTCGTTGTCCTCGACGACAGGGACGACGACGCACCGCCGCCACGACCGGTCCGCCTTGGAGACGCCGGGCAGGGGTCCAGCAGGGGCGGCCGCGCCGTCAAGAAGGAGAAGGCCGACAACGACGATGAGGACGGCGGCGACATCGGCGACTTCGCGGTGCTCAGCGACTTCTTCGCCCCGTAGATGTCTTTTTTAAAATAATTTATGTAAATGCCGAACATGTTTAATATGAATGTCAAGTTAGCCGAATTTATGCCGAATTTGGCCGAAATTTGCCGAATTCATATGTTTTAAAATAAAAAAAAATGCGCGTCTGGGACGACCCTAGGGCGAGCGGCTGGGAACCCGCTCGTCCCCAGGCGCCAATCTACCGCCGGCACGCCCTCAGGGGGCTCTTTTTTGACGCCCTGGAGGGCCGAACGGCTGGAGATGCTCTAAATTTTTGTGATACATGGAGAAATACAATATACTAGACATGGAGAAATACAATGTACTAGAAGTACATGGAGTATGCATCAAGCAAAAAAAAAAACGAGATTGTATGCATGCTGTCATTTTCCGATAAAGACGTGTCGGTGTCATGTCAGAAACCAATTGAGCTAACCACCTAATCATGCTAGCCGCAGGTCAAAGTACTCGAATGTGTTTTTTTTTCTTTTTGCTATTTTTTTTGCGGGAATTTTGCTATTTAACACGGCTACGTTGTGTGAAGATCAGGTGAGTGGTTCAAACTATACTCATTATTCTCTTCTAACAATGTTGTACAAATCCAAGCAAAAATTATCACCGAAGATAATGTGGTAAAATGCAAAATGTTTTTGGAGGAGAAAAAAAACGTTTTCCCGTTGGTAATAATAATATCCTAAAGCTATGGTGGATGATGGAGAGTTTTTGTTCCTTTTTGTGAATATTCTAAAAATCTTGTCATGTGTATGCACGCGGAGAGTTGCTATAATAGACTCGACATGGCGAAGCCAACCAACGTTCTAGAAGTAAAATTTGGTGAACAAATGTTGTCTCAAGTCTCACGCATGATAGTCTCAAAAAGAAAAAGGTTCCATGCATGATGACCCACAGAGTTGTGGCATCTGATGGGAAAAATGTAAGCTTGGCCACCTGATTAATACTCCTTCCGTTTCAAATTACTCGTCGTAAAAGTGGATGTATCTAGAACAAAAATACATCTAGATACATCTATTTCTATGACGAATAATTCGGAAGATAGCTACTTCAAGGCTGCTAATCAAGCACGCTGGATCTGCGCTCCATTGCCTACTTCTTTCGCTCACAATGCAAGTGGTGTACTTTAAGCTTGTTTATCCAGAAAATGCTGGCTCGAATTCCACGACGTCACGTTCACTTGTGCTGACGGCTGACAGGGACGTGGTGGGAGTGGGAACTAGTGGGCACTCATGCTCCATTCGGTATACATCTGAATGCTTTTTTAGACAGGTTGATTTCACAAATACGATTTTCACTGTTCAATACGTAGAGACTCACATTTGCATGAAAAAACTGTACAAAATATTGCTCTGATCTCGTGTCTCTTTCTTTGTGTTGTTGGAGCTTGGTCCTGATATTAGAACAAATAACAGAGAATTTGCTATTACCCCATCTAATTCTGTTTTGATATTACCCATACTGTTATTTCTCGCTTAACAAGCAAAAAAAATCACATGGAGTCTTCTATTTACCGTTGAAACTAATATACAATTTTTTTTACCATGGTCCTAGCGGCCCGGCTGGTAAAAATCGACTTCTATTCGCAAGAAAAAGGAAACTATATCGACTTTCTCGCATATACTATAGTGTGTATTCTCTGCATTTGTAGAACTAACTTTCAAAAGGCGAGAACGCATAGACTGTAAGTGAGTTCTCCTTCATTACCTGTGTTTATCGGAGAAGAAAATAGTGGCACGCAAAGAAAGAAGCCGCTCTTTCCGTTTATGCACATTTTTTTGGATAAACACGGGAGCAAGGTCGGAGTAATACACTGCACTCCCTCTGTATCTAAATATAAGACGTCTTTACGGTTCAAATGAAATACTTATACGACATTTAGGTGTCATGTCAGAAACAAGTGGAGCTAATCAAAGCTGGCCGCAGGTCAAGTCCTCAGTCAAAATCCAGTCTCAGGCACACGCAGCTGCATATTTTATCCCGAGCGCCGGAGAAGCAGCAGCATGGAACACGTGCGCGTTTACTTCTTTCCATTTTCAAGAGTGTGCGCCAGGTATTGTGTGTCGGACTTTCCTTCTGCCAGTTGATCCGTTTTTTGCCATTTCCGGGAAGTTGCAGGACAGGACGAAAAGTCGGTGAGCGGAACAAGTTGGCCAACGGTTTGACAGGAACACTCAAATTGCCGTTAACTGGTGGGGTCTCGCTGACGTGGACACACGTCAGCGTTGGATGGGACTACTACGTAGTAGTACGTGCCGAGATATGGACATATACTTTTTTTTTGCGGAGAACAAGATATGGACATATACGCATGGATGTCTGGTGTACCTCACGGTGTCGCTCTTATTTTCCCTTATAAGATGTGGACATATACGCACTGGCATTATTAGCAACGATCAAAACAAGGACTATTTATATACTGTACATAGTAACCTCCTTGGGATGCATTTTAATATTTACTGAAGGATGAAGATGGTAACACCATATTTCCTCGGTTTGAAAGGTCGATCTGTATTCCTAGATCAACAATTTGACTAATATAATACTCCCTCCGTCCCAAAATTCTTGTCTTAGATTTGTCTAAATACGGATGTATCAAGTCATGTTTTAGTATTAGATGCATATGTATCTAGACAAATATAATACAAGAATTTTGGGAGGGGAGGGGGGGGGGGTAGAAACTAGATTTAAATTTAACATAGAGAGTAATAGAAACCACGGCTGTTAAATATGGACAGACATCAAAATTCCAGTTCAACATTCATTGGGTGGCTAAAATTAAATTGATTAATTTAGAGCGAGTTACAGACTTTATTCCTACATTGTTTTTTTACACTAATTATCTCATTGAGAGAAAGAATGAAGAAGAGAAAATGGGAAGGATGAAGGCACGGGGCCCGGGAAGGTTTTGGGTGTTGGAGTCCTATGTGTCTGGTGTCCGGACTCCCGCAAACTTTCCACACTTTTGTTTCTGGTTTGCGAGAGAAAATGCGCCCGAACCATCCCATAGACCGATACAGGCCCACGTTGGATGGTTTTCACGGTCCGGACAGCGCGGTGCAGACGGTCCGATGCCCTTATCTCTACATTGTTATTTTTAAGGTAATTACCTCATTCAACACTTTTCATACAGAGCAATGATACATACGTGTCGGTTCCCCTTCTGTCATTGGGATTAAGCACCGTAAGATCGAACCCATCACAAAATACCACTTCCCATGGCAAGAAAAATCGATCTAATTGGCCTAACTAAACCAAAGATTCGAAAAAGAAATACGAGGCTACGAGTAATCATGCATATAAGAGATCGAAAGACTCAAATAAATTCCATGGATAAAAACATAGATCTGATCATAAACTCAAAATTCATCGGATCCAAACAAACACACCGCAAAAAAAGTTATATCAAATAGATCTCCAAGAGACCATTGTATTGAGAATCAAAAAAGAGGTGTTTTATCCCATTTAACAAAATAGTTACCAGTTTTTACTGTCATTCATAGAGAATGTAAGAGCATCTATAGCCGGACTTGACAAATCCGACCCCTTATTACGCCCACGGACTCGCCCGGGCACGCCCACGGGCACATCCGGACGGTCTCTCATATTTCCATCCCGGCATCCACATATATCAAATCTGACTCTCAAATCCATGCACGTTTATCATATAAGCTAATGTCGCACATAAATAGCAAATGTTGATATGAATCATTGATAGTATTTACATAAAGTTTATTTTTAAGTCTCTAAACTCGTGACCGTACAATGATCGCGCGACCCGCCCGGACGTATGAGACGAGTTTGAGGTGCCCGGCTGTAGAGGCTCTAAACTCTACTATGTTAGAATGGACTGAGCCCAAAAAAAATTCCAAACCGAATCTTGAGGTGTGAAGACAGGACATCTTCAAGCTCCTGTTTGCTGAATCGTACACTGTATCGGGACGTTGGTTTACCAGTTGCCCCACGCTGGCCTGCCTGCGTATCATGGCGTCGGAAAGTAGCGTAGCTCTAGTCCAGTGTGCGTACACACGCCGCCTGCTTGGCAAATCCCGCACGTGTGCTCAGCTCAGGTGCCGCGCCAACCACTCACGTACCAGCTGCCGCAAAAATATACTCCTGCCACTCTCTACGTAGTGGATACACTATTTTATGTGGCAAGTTGGGTGTCGCGCGAACCAACGCCGCAGCAACGGCCAGGCCAGTGCGTGCGCGACGCTGACCGCTCGCCATGTTTGACTCACCATCCTCCTATCCCACCACTGCCTGCGACTTCTTCACTTCTTCTCATGTCCTCATCACCCCGCCGCTTTTCCCACCCCACCTCCGATCACTATATATGCCAGCCCGGCTGGCGCCATCCTCATCCTCAGCCGAGTCCAAAGTTCCAAACCAAACCAACGAATCCTTCCTTCTGCTACCTGCCTGCGTGATCGATCAGCAGTCAACAATCGACCAAGCTTCCAGCGCTCGATCGATTATCAGCAGCTAGCCATGGTTGCCGCCGCCATGCAGGCCCTCTTTGACCAGACCGACCTCTCCCTCTCCCTCTCCCTGGTCCCCGCCGCCGCGCCGGCGCTCAACAAGGACGACTACCTCGCCATCTGCCTCGCCGCGCTCGCCAAAAGCGGGCAGCAGGTGCAGGGGATGGAGGGGCAAGCGAGAGTGTGGCGCCCGGCCCCCGCGCCGGCGCAGGAGCTGCGCTTCAGCTGCGCGGTCTGCGGGAAGGCCTTCGCGTCGTACCAGGCGCTCGGCGGGCACAAGTCGAGCCACCGCAAGCCGCCGCCCACCGGAGAGCGGTGCGTCGTGGTGGCGCAGGCGTCCGCGGGCACTGGGTCGGAGGCGAGCGCGGCGGCGTCCTCGGGCGGGAGCAGCGGCGGCCCGCACCAGTGCACCGTCTGCGGGCGGGGCTTCGCGACCGGGCAGGCGCTCGGCGGGCACAAGCGCTGCCACTACTGGGACGGCACCTCCGTGTCCATGTCCGTCTCCGTCTCCGTGTCGGCGTCGTCCTCCGTGCTGAGGAACTTCGACCTGAACCTGCTGCCCATGCCGGAGAACGTTAATGCCGGGTTGAAGAGGTGGGCCGAGGAGGAGGAGGTGCAGAGCCCTCTCCCCGCCAAGAAGCTCAGGCTTTTGCTGTAGATAAAAAAAGGAGAGATGGCCAGTGCTCAACCGTCCCTTGATTGATTTGTTCATTTGTTGAATTCGATTAGGTATCACGCACCATGATTTGTTGATTTGTTGTGTTTATAAGGACACAAAGAAATGAAAACTATGGGCTTAATTAACCTCCCCACGTCAACCGATTCTGACATAACATCACACATTCACGTTACTCGACCTAAATCGGATGAGATGCTCTTCTTCGCTGCCGTTTTCTTACATCGATCGCGTCCTAACCGACTTGAAATCGACCGTCCTCGTCGATTACGACTTGAACTGGATGTTCCCCTCTACTTGTAAATCAATCTCCCGCCACCAGACCAACGTCGCTTCAGAATCCAACCTTTCTATTAGGCCGATCAGGATCAGCGATGGGCGGCAGGTTCGGGGAGGGGTCCTCAGGGACGGAGCTAGGATTTTGGTATAGTGGGGGCCAAGTCAAGTTCCTAAACTTTTTCTAGACCAAAAAATAACAATCATCATACTGTAATATATGCCACACGATACAAAATATTGATACAAAGTTGTATAAGTTCAAATTTATCTTTACAATTGCCAATAACATGACAAAAAATTAATAATCTCACAGAAAGAGAACTTACCTGTTAAATTTTTTCAACTTTTAACCCAAGTAAGTCTCTCGTTTGGCGCTTAAAATAAAATCAATATTTTGGAGGCACTTCTATTAGAGCTTCAACTTGCTTGTCTAGTGGCAGCTCCCAATTTAACATGTTTTTGCTTGTTCTGCAACACTTACCATGTCCAGCATATCCTGATCATAGGTGTCAATTGGACCAGATTTATGACTTGCACATCAGCCTTATTAACAATTTCAGTGGAGAACTGGAAGCAACCTGCTTAAATAATGAAATAACGTGGACAGTGTTTGACAACGCTTTTCTCTTCATAGCTGCTGAATTGCAGTGTGACAATTAGCTATATTGGATAAGTTTGACATAGGGAAAATTTGCATCGCAAATAATTACTCATACAAGATAATTTGCATCACGGTCACTATAATTTTTAGGACATGTACATGATAGGAATTCTTCATAGAATCGTAGCATTACAAGTCAGACAACCAGAACATGTAAACTAGTAAAATCTGATGTATATATGTCCAACAATGATACAAGATGAGAATTGAGATTAGTAGATGCATGGTGCGATGTGCTAAACCTTTGGATCATTGCCTAGTTTCTGTTGGTTGGAAATCAGGCTGCGAGCCTGCGTCGCGCCGTCGCACTTACGTTGTATGAATAGGATCGGGAGCAGTAGGTCAGGGAGAAGAGGCGGCCGCCGGCCGGGCGGGCGAGGGCACCGAACAACGGGGACTAATCCACGTACATGTTTTTTATGAGCCTATTCCACGTACATGCTAATCTTTTTTTTGAACTTTTTTGGAGCTAAACGTACGTACAGGCTGATCACGCGAGAACATACGGCGCTAGTGTGGGCTTGACATGGGCCTTCTCCCTTTTTCTTAAATTAACGCCGTATAGGGGGGGTGGGGGTGTAACGCCCTCGATGCGGCTATATCTCCCACGTGTCGAAGCACGACTTAGAGGCATAACCGCATTGAAAGCAATGTCGCAAGTGAGGTAATCTTCACACAACCCATGTAATACATAAGGGAAAAAGATACATAGTTGACTTACAATCGCCACTTCACACAATACACGAATAAAGCATTACATCATCCAAATACAATCAAGGTCCGACTACGGAACCAAAATAAAAGAAGAACCCCAAATGCGACAAGGTCCCCGATCGACCCCAACTGGGCTCCACTACTGTTCAACTAGAACGAAACAACACAAAGGACAAGATCTTCATCGAGCTCCTTCTGAGTTTGGTTGCGTCATCTGCACGGTCTCATCGGCACCTGCAAACTGGTTTTGGAAGTATCTGTGAGTCACGGGGACTCAGCAATCTCGCACCCTCGCTATCAAGACTATTTAAGCTTATGGGTAAGATAAAGGTATGAGGTGGAGCTGCAGCAGTGACTAGCATATTTGGTGGCTAACATATACGCAAAAGAGAGCGAGAAGAGAAGGCAAAGCACGATCGAGGAAACTATGATCAAGGAATGATCCTAGAACAACCTACGTCAAGCATAACTCCAACACCGTGTTCACTTCCCGGACTCCGCCGGAAAGAGACCATCACGGTTACACACGCGGTTGATGCATTTTAATTAAGATCAACTTTAGGTTATCTACAACCGGACATTAACAAATTCCCATCTGCCCATAACCGCGGGCACGACTTTCGAAAGTTCAAAACCCTGCAGGGGAGTCCCAACTTAGCCCATGACAAGCTCTCACGGTCAACGAAGGATATTCCTTATAGCGGGAAGACCCGATCAGACTCGGAATCCCAGTTACAAGACATTTTGACAAGGTAAAACTAAACCAGCAACACCGCCCGAATATGCCGACAAATCCCGATAGGAGCTGCACATATCTCTTTCTCAGGGCACACTCAGATTGTCTTAGGTACGGGTAGGCCAGCCCAGAGTTGCCCCTGGTGGCCACCGGCAGCTGACATGTTGGACCAACACACAGAGGAGCACTGGCCCGGGGGGGTTAAAATAAAGATGACCCTTGAGTTTGCAGAACCCAAGGGAAAGAAAAGGCTAGGTGGAGAATGGTAAAACCAATGTTGGGCATTGCTGGAAGAGTTTTATTCAAGGCGAACTGTCAAGGGGTTCCCATTATAGCCCAACCACGTAAGGAACGCAAAATCTGGGAACATAACACTGATATGACGGAAACTAGGGCGGCAAGAGTGGAACAAAACACTAGGCATAAGGTCGAGCCTTCCACACTTTACCAAGTATATAGATGCATTAATTAAATAAGAGATATTGTGATATCCCAACAAGTAAACATGTTCCAACAAGGAACAACATCTCCATGTTCCAACAAGGAACAAACTTCAATCTTCACCTGCAACTAACAACGCTATAAGAGGGGCTGAGCAAAGCGGTAACATAGCCAAACAACGGTTTGCTAGGACAAGGTGGGTTAGAGGCTTGGTTCAACAATATAGGAGGCATGATAAGCTAGTGGTAGGTATCGCAGCATAGGCATAGCAAAAGAGCGAGCAACTAGCAAGCAAAGATAGAAGTGATTTCGAGGATATGGTCATCTTGCCTGAAATCCCGCAAGGAAGAAGAACGCGTCCATGAAGAAGACAAATGGACGTAGTCGAACGGTTCCTCACAAACGCGACGTTATCGGAACCAACCCGAAGAAGCAAACACCGGAAAGAAGCACACAACATAGTAAACAACCACCACATAAGCATGGCATGATTCACAGCCAAGTATGATGCATGTCCGGTTTAAAGAAGCATGGCATGGCAAAGTGCAACAAACAACCCTACAAATTAAGTGGAGCTCAATATGCAACTCCGTTGCATATTGACGAAACACCACATGACTTGTTTAGATTCGATCTCGTTTATGTACCCAACAATATTAAATGTTGATTATCATGACAAAGGGCGAAGCATATGAAAACTACCTATCTAGGCAAGTTTAAATGAGGCCGGAAATAACAAACAACAATTCCGGAAAAACCTCATGTGCATATTTAGATTTGGTGCGGTTCTGCCCTAAGCCATATTTTATAGTTGGTAATCATGCAAAATGATGTCACCATGTTAAACTAGGCAAAATTCTACCCCATATACATATAAAGTTTATTAAAATCCGAGTTACGGTTATTTAGTTATGAAATAAATCATTTTAGCATGGCATAGGGGCAAATTTAAACAAACATCATTTTAAACATTTTGAACATGGATGAAAGTTGGATATTATGAATCTAGACAAAATTCTAAGCAAGTTTCATATATAATTCATTTTAATCCGATGCACCAATTGTGAGTTATTATATGCATGATCCACAAGGGCTTTCCTGTAAAAATGCTCTCCTCTGGAAAAATAGACAAATTGCAGATTTGAAAAAAAACAGAGGCGGGCTGAATCGGACTGGGCCAACAACGCACAGTGGGGGCTCTCACCCAGTGGGCCTTGGCCCAAGGCGGTGGAAACAGCAGGCCGGTGGATCTGGCGCGGCTGGGCCTCTGCTTAGCCGAACAAGGAGGAGGGGGCGCGGTCAACGCGCTCGTCCTGGACGAAGCAGAGGAAACAGGGCGCTGGTAGCAGGGACTTGGCGACGGCGACGCAAGCGAAGGCGGCGGCGCCAGGTAGGATCTGGGCGGAGGGGAGGTCTTGGTGACGGCGACTGTTCATGAAGACGGACTTGGCGCGGGCGGAGGCGCGCTGGAACGAGCGAGTCCCTTCTCGACGAAGAGGAAGCAGAGGCCGCGGCGTGGCTCGAGGAAGACCTCGCGGTGAAGAACTCCGGGAAGCAGGGAACGGGGCGACGACGAGCTCCTCGGGAGGTGCGGGACTTGGACGCGGGGCTCCGGGGCGGCACGTCGGCGGATCCGGGCGTGGGGAAGGAGGCAGGGGCGCGCGGCTCATCTGCTCGTCTCACCGGCGAGAGGATGCAGCGACTACTGCTGTGGACTGAAGAAAAGAGAGAGAGAGAGAGGTTCAGAGAAGGTTCAGGGGAAGGGAGCAAAGAGAGACGACGGACAGGGGACTCCGGCGGGCAGGTGATGGTGACGAGGTGCAGCAGCGCCGCTCGCATAGCCTCCTCATGGTCGCGGGGTCCGAGCGAACCAGGGGCACGGGGACGAGGGGCTCCGCAGGCAGGAGCTGCGGCTTCGGAGGCTCCAACCAGCGAGGAGACAGGAGGGAAGTGGGTGGAATTTTTTTGGATCTGGCTGGTGTTGTGTGGTTGGCTCGATGTGGACTCCGAGGAGGATTTAGAGAGAGGGTGGCGGCAGAAGAAGTGGATGGATGGGACAACTCTCCTCAAAATTAGGGTTGTTATCTATCTATATGTTGTTGGATTAGGTTAGGGGGGCATTCGGTCCGTCCGATCATAATCGGGCGGTCG